AGTTAAGAATGATTAAAAAAAAAAAATCTATATCCCCATCTGTTAAAAGTAAGAAGAAAGGGGCACCTGGGTGGCTCAGTCGTTAAGCGTCTGCCTTCGGCTCAGGTCATGATCCCAGGGGCCTGGGACTGAGCCCCGAATCGGGCTCCGTGCTCCGCGGGAAGCCTGCTTCTCCCTCTCACTCCCCCTGCTTGTGTTCCCTCTCTTGCTATGTCTCTGAATATTAAATCTTAAAAAAAAATAAAAAATAGAAGTGAGAAGAAAGTAGGAACAGCGCCTGACCAGAGAAGTACTGTAAAGGTGTTGGCTCTTAGCCTTATTCCAAAGACCAATTGTTTTGAAGAAGAAAAACAAGGCTTTGTACCAGAAAAGTGTAATTGTGGTTACTTTCTAAGTCAAGTAGGGGATAGAAAAGCTGACCATGACAATACAGAAAAATGGACAGCTTTTCACCTCTTGGGCAATGTTCAGGATAGCAAAATAAGCTTTTTATTTTTCTAATATTCTTTGGTATTATAATATCTCCAATGTGTACATATTTGTAGAAATACACACCTGGACCAAATTCAAGATAAAATTTTCTATTCCTGGCTCCGTGTCACCCTGTCAGCCCAATTCATCTTGGAAAACCAGGCCATCCCCTCCACTGCGAAAGTCTCCCCCTCTTCCTCCCCTGTGTAAGGATTATACCATACTGCAATACATCTGCCCTTTTCTTCTTGTATAACGTCCATACCATATAATGTCCATACAACTCCTTCCTTTCATGAACCATGAAGAGCTCTCTGAGAACAGAGACTATCAATCATTTTCAAATTCCCAGTGTCTTGCAAGATAGGCATTAAATATATGAATGAATAAAGCAGTCTCCCTATATATCTTATAACAAATACAAGAAAGGCAAGTAGAAACCTGTAATTGGAGGTGGTTTATCCAAAAGGTTATTTAGGTATCTTCGGTTCTATTTCAGAATTAGCAGATCAGTTGAACCCACTGAATCATCCACCAATTCTTTATCCCTCAGAGTGGGAAATAGTAGAAGTATGTAAGTAAAGATATTCCAGTAAAGACAGAAGCTAAACTTTATTTTTTTAAGGATTTTATTTATTTATTTATTTGATAGAGAGAGAGAGAGGGCGCACAAGCAGGGGGAACAGCAGAGGGTGAGGGAGAAGCAGTCCCCCCCCCCACCAGCAGGGAGCCATATGCAGATCTTGATCCCAGGACCCTGGAATTATGACCTGTGCAGAAGGCAGACGCTTAACTGACTGAGCCGCCCAGTCGCCCCAGAAGCTAAACTCTTAAATAAAAAGAATTTAGTCATTTAAAATGTCAGGAAAACAGAAGTAGTCTAAAAACTTTCTTATGAAACTAAAAATAGCATGTAGAAGAAATCACAAGATTTAATGTTTATAATGTCTCCTTTTTCAGGAGAGAAACAATAATCACAAGCCAGATGATATACCCTATTAAGGTGGATGAAATCAAAACTAAATCACATACTAAATCAATTTCACACAATGCTTCTATAGTGAGGTTCTATAAAGACCTTATCAGTCAGCAAAAATTAAGCTAATTTTTTGGAACTTAACAGTTCTTGGCAATTTTTTGAAAATGGCCAGGGCTCCAGGATCAAGTACTGATTAGTGTCAGATCAGTTAACAGGCCAGTCTTGGGTTACTACAGAAGAGAGGTGTCCCTCCTAAGGTACAGGCCTCACTTGGATCCCACCCCCTTCCATCTTCTCAGAACTTTGCAAAAATAAGCGAACATTTTACTGATCTATATTCAACCTCTCCCTTTCAACAAACACCTTCCCATCAGCATTTAAACTTAACTGATAAAAATCAAGACTCCTATAAAGTTTCCTATTCTTGCTATCTCCATTTTCTTCACCTTCTACTTGCTTCTGCTTCCCACCCCATCAACAACATCTGCAAAAGAACACCCATCACCTCAGAGTAGCTAAATCCATAGGACATTACTCAATTTCCCTCTCACAGGAGCTCCCCCACTGGCTGCAGGGACACCACTCCAGCTGTGGCTCCCCCTTGAGCAAGGTTCCCTGGCCACTCCTCCCATCTCCTTGGCCAAGCTCAGCCCCCTCTACCCAGCTTCATCCCAGGCCTCCACCTGTTCTCATTCTAGTCTCTCCACAGGCAATCTCACCCAAGCCCAAGAGTCTGTATCACCTCTATACCGATGGCTCCAAGATGGTAAACTAGTGATCACTGGACATCTTCTCCCAACAATTAATCACCATTTCTGGTAATTTTACCTCCAAATTTCCTTTTTCTCAGTATCTCTGCTTGTGATATAAGGCTCCTAAGAGGATCAAATGGGCTAACATGAGAGTATTTTGAAAAGGTGGGGGGGAGGGGTGCGACTTAAATCTGAGTATTAGTATTCATTAAATTTAAATCTCCTTGAAAACCGGGACTTTGTCAAATTCACCTTTTTATTTATTCCACATGGTACACCTGGCAGTGCTTTGCATGCAGATGGCATTCAGTAAATGTATTGCAATGAATTATTTGTATTGGCTTAATACACATTCAACTGAAATATTCATGTACTTAACAGCTTGTATTTCTTCAAACCACATAATCATTTTGTCTCCTAAGAGGTGAGAATTTTAAGTCTAACTACCCTGGATACCTTTGATAATTATGATGCTACTTATCTCAAGTTAGGAAAACCTGTCACCTTTTTGGCCTGGCTTTCCTGAAAACATCCAAATCCTATCAAGTCCAAAGCTTACATAAAGATTTTTGGTTCCCAAATGTTCACGTTGAGAGGGGAAAATTTAAGTGTTACAGAACAGTTAGGCTGTAAGGTGGAATGACTGCTTCAAAAAGTTCCCTATCTCATTTTTCTGTCTTGTAACATGAGCTAGAGTGATATTCTGGGTAGGATCAGACACCGTGGAATGAAAAGAATGAATTATTGTTCAAAAGTTCTCAAACTCTTGCATTAGGTACATTTAATTAGACTCAGAATGCAAGATTGTAAAACCTCACCAGATCAATTCAAAAAAACTCCCCAATTTCCATCTAAATCACAATCTTCATTATACTCTTCATTCACACACTTTTCCTTCACTGCACTTCTCATAATTTGTAATTATATATTTATCTGTATGATTTCCTTCGTATCTGTTTCCTCCATGAGGGCAAGGATCACATCAATTCTGCTCAATGCTATATTCCCAGCACCTTACACGGTTCCTAAAATATAACATGAGTTAAAAGGCTCTGGCTGAGCAATTAATTGAATGAGGAATGGAAATAAGTCATTTAAGCAGAACCAGAGAGCAGGGAAGCACATAAGCAATGAGAAAGATCCTGAGGCTTTAAGATCTGACACCCACCCCCAACCAGACACAGTATGATTTTCCGCTCATAATTTATCCATCCTTCGTTTCTTTCAACCCTTTTTCCTTCCCTCTTTCCTTCAAGAAGGACATTTTAGACTCAAAGAATATTTCAGCTTTAAATCCTGTCCAAATTTAACAAATCCTGTAACGGAGACCCAAAGACACCAGGTGACTTGTCACCTTGACCCTTCTTGTAAAAGATAGCTTGAAAAGTCTCAAGAACATGCCACAGTGACAACAGAAGTCTTAGTCATCCCTAAGGGTAAGAACTGCAGAAGAAGATGCCAGAAAACCAAAGAATAAAGTCTGTGCAAATGACTACCATCTCTCAACACCTCTTCCCTTCAATAACCTTATACATTTTTGGAGCAACTCAGCAATAACCTTCAGCTCCCAGGACTAATCTGGGGAAAACAAAAAAGGCTGTGATAATCCTGAATGAAGATCATCAAACTACAGCTCTCCTGGCCCACCCCACCCCCCAGAAAAATTCACAGTGGCAACTATTCAGCCAACCACCAAGGAGAGGCAGCATAATATAGTGGTCAGACGCAAGAACTCTGGGTTTTTAGACAGGCCTGTCTGAATCCCGGCTTCTCTTACTGGCTGTGGTCTGAGGCAAGTTAATGTGTCCAAACTGCAGTTTCTCCCGCTGTAAAATGGGAATAAGCATCACCCTAGAGGGCTGTTAACTGTGTGATGGTACCATGCATACAGCACTCAGTACGGTGCCTGGCATGTAATAAAGCCTCAATAAATGTCAACTATTTGTCACTGTATTCAGCTGTGATCGCTTTCGTAAGGCCTATTCTTCCTCTAGCTTCCATATAATTTTAAAGATGTTGTTCTACCCTTTCTGTTTTTGAGGGGTCATATATACATTAGCTTAGAGCACCTTTTCTAAATCCAGACTGGATAAACCAGTTAAAGGTCTGTGTCTCAGGATGCTCACCTAGGAAGCGGGCGTGATAATCCCTCCCCCGCAGGACTGCTGATAGTGAGCACTACCTCAGCGTTACACATTCTATTACTGATGTATGAAAACGCACTTACGGGTAAGTAAACCTGCAACTCTCAACCCCAACCATCGGTCAATCCTAGCCCCGTCAGCACGGATCGTGGCCCCAACAAATAAATAGCCAGGTCGACCCTGCTCACCCACCCAATTTCTCCCCACAGCCGGCAGCAACAGACACCCCCGCCGGTCCCTCCAGCAGGGGTTCCCGGAACCGCAGGGCTCAGTTTCCTCGCAGGGACCGCGTCAAGGCCCACCCAAAGAAAGATGCCAGCCCCCCACCCCGTCCGCCCCCACAAGCGCCGGGAGGGACCCGGGGCACCCTTCCTCCCCCGGAATGCGCGGCCGCCCGGCTCACGTGGGCCCTTCGGCCCAGGCCCCACGTCACCCGCTTCCCCGACCCCACGGCAGCGCCTCCCACCCTGCCCGGGTGTTTCCCCCTCCGGCAGCGGGCCGCCACGCGACCCCCGGCGCGCACATGCCCGGGGCCTGGCTCCGCGGCCACATCCGGCCCCCAAGCCGGGACGGCCCTCGGGCCCAGCCCCGCCGCTCGCCGACGCCGCGCCGCCGACCGACCCCCGCCGCTCCCACAACGGGCACCGCACTCACCGCGACGCCGGAGCCCGGGTTCCTCCCGCCTCGGGCCCACGCAGGCCTGGCTGCGCCCCCAGAGCATTCACGCCCCGTGCCGCCTCCTGGGGACCCTGGCGCAGCCGCCGCGGCCGCGCTGCAACACGGCCACCGTCTGCTGTCCCTGCCGCTGCCTCCTCGTCCCAATCCCGGCCGCGGAGACACCCGCAGCGACGCAGCCCGGCGCCGGCAGACCAGCGTCTGTTGAGCCGAACCGCCCGGGACGCGCTCCCCCGGCCGGCGCTCGTTGCATATGCAGAGAGGCCGCCGCCCATTGGCCCGCGGGCGGTGGCGCGTGCGGGGCTGGGCCTATCGAATTCCGGCCGGGGAGCGCGGCGCGGTCGGCCAGGGGCGGGACGGGGTTACTACGGGTCATTCGCGGAGCCGCGGCGGACGGGACCCAGCCGCCACCGGCGCGGGGTGGGGACCTGGCCGGAGGGAGGGATCGGACCGCAGCGGCTGGGGGAGGGGAGGCGGACTCGGCGGCCGCGACGTGGGCGGAGGGCTGGGGGGTTGGGGGGGGGGGGGGGGGAGACCGCCCCTGCCGCCTACCCAAAAAATAACTAGAAACGCAGTTACTGCTGTAGTGTTTAAATCTTAACATAGATCATGAAATAATACGCATATTATTTTCGTCCTTAAGTGGATCATTTATCCTGTCCTTGCACACATTGTTGTTGTCAAATTCTGTAAAATAAAATGATTTTCGGAAATACCCGAATCGAGAGGAGCTCAAAGATTCAGAGCAAATCCCTCTAATTATTTCTCTTGCTTTGGCTTCACTTAACCCAGCAAATAACCCATCTTCTTTAAATACACGCACTATTCATACAAGATTGATATTTGTTTTCAAAGGCTAAAGTTTACCCCAAACTACTGTTTTTAGACATTCTTCTTCTGAATCTAGAAGTGTTTCTGTATTTCAAAGAGTTTATCTCATTTTAAACACTACAAAAGGAAAAAAGACATGAGTGCAAGGTACACTGCCTCCCCACAAGCAATCAAATGCAAACCATAACACAAACGACTCAAACAACTGCAGTGCTCTATAAGAAAGACGATTTTCATTACCCTAGTGGTAGGAGGGTTGGGCTTTTTTTTTTTTTTTTTAACCCAACGAAATATTCAGTCGGTCTCTGAACAAAGTTACAACATTAAGTCAGATTTGATACCCCAGGAAATGAAACTGATTTGGAGAGTTTGGGGTTTTCTTCTTTTTTCTCTTTTTTTTAAGCAGTGAAGGAGCTAGAAATAGCTACTTGAATAGTAAATCTCCCTGCCATGCAAAAGTTTTCTTTAAGTAGGTGAAAGGTGACGTTTCTGAGCCAGCCTCAGGCTAAAAGCAAGGGCGCCCTTCCCAAGAGAATTTCTAAAATCAGTGAAGGCGTCTGAACTTGAACTAGGTGGAGTGATGATGCACAGAGCAAAGAAAGCTCACTCACCTTGGGCCCCAGGCCAATTTAACTACCTAAAGGAATGGATACCTGACTCAGGCAACCTGTTTTTCCACTAGAAAATGTGTTCAGTTGCTGCTAATCTATAGAGATGCTATCAAAGGATAGACCCTGAAGACTAATGGAATGCAGAATTATCTAAAAAGATCACCATTTTTCTGCATGCAGAGGGAAGTATAGTAGAAGGGGTAGTTCCAAAACGAGGAAAAGCCTCTAGGAAAATAAGTAATTTCCAAGTGAGGAAAGCAAATATAAATATATATGTATATATATATTTTAGGAAAACCAATATTAAACCTTTTTCCCATCAATAAGCACAAAGCCGACTAATAGAATTCCAGCAACATCTTAACATCTTATCTCTTTCTATATCATAAAATATGTGTGTATATACATACATATATATGACATTTTTAAAAGAAAATATTCCTTGGAATTAAAATTCTAAATTCTCATCTTGTTAACTTAGGCTAAACAGAAATATAATTTCTCTAGTCTCTAAAGTTTTGCTTTTTAAATAAAATAATACATGCACAGTTGCTTTTCTTTTAGAAAAGTTTTCAGTATGTTTTTATTTTTATTTAGAGTGTTTGAGAGTTATGGAATTTGGCTTCACTTTCCCTCTTTTTAGAAAAACTCAATTCAGAAACTATAACGGCCAACTCAAAAACACCCAACAGTACCTTTTAAAGTTTTGTTATTTTACCAAATTACAGGGGAATTCAGGGAGATGTCTTTGCAATTCTCTAGAACACTTAATGATCTGTTTTATGTGAAGGGTCGCAGAAATAGTCTGTGACCACGTGGCAAACTACTGCTAACATTTTCCATAATCATTATAATGTAAAACCAGGGCCAGCCAATGTTCAAAAGTTTAACAGAAACCTTTTTGTTCTTTCATTTCTGGGAATTGAGAAGGAGTGGGGGAGCTGAGGTAGCAGAAGATACTTACTCTATGCTTGAGTCAAAACGGTTCTGACTTCAAAGAGCAAAACACTCAACAGAAAACTATGACATTTATTTGCCTCACATAAAGATAACTCAAGAGGCAGGACAAGTCCAAGATGGATCCAGAGACTCTGCCATGTGACTGAGGATCTGAGCTTTGACCATCTTTCACTCTGTCTCAGTATATCGGCTTCATCCTTAAGCCATCTTAGTCACAGATGGCAGCTGCGGTTTCAGGTGTCACATGAAGACACAACAGCATCTGGCCAGAAACTAGGGGCATGTTTCCTAATGCCACTTCTTCTTAAGGAGGAAATCCTTTCTCAGATGACTGGCTACAGACTGATCCTGAAGTCCTATCGGTCGGAATTGGGTCACATGTTCACACCTTAGCTGCAAGGGACGCTGGGAAAGTGTTGGCAGTTTTGGCCTGCCTCTCTAATGGAAACCAGGCACCATCAACACGGAAGCAGTCACGGGAAGGAATAAATGTGAGAAAGAAAGCCTAATCAGTAGTGTCTGCTACAGCTATCACCTAAAAGTACCCATCTCTGACTAAAAGTGCTCAAACAATAAAACCATCTGTTATCTCTCTTAAAATGCCCAGAGAAAGGCAATTCCAGGGTTGCTTCGAAGGCTCACTGGTGTTATCGCAAGAAACTAGCTCCTTCTGTCTCTTCGCCCAGCCATGCTCAGTGTTTATGTTCCCTCCCTTCATAGTTACAAAATGGCTGCCACCATTCTGAGCACTATGTTTACACAATACTTCCAAAGCCAGAAGGGAACGGCAGCTTCTCCTATGTGTCAGTATGTGTTTCTTGTGGAGCTCCATCTTTCCAAGATGCACTCAGCCCACTTCCCGTAATCCAATCACTAACAAATGAAATCGCCCTGATAAACTTAGCTCACTCATACATCATCTACTAGGGCTGGAAGAGGATCGTCTAGCAACTGGACACAACATTGTTTGTCCTTCGGTTCAAACTATATGAAGGGCATTTTGAAGGACAGGGCCCCACTCCAAAAGACGATCATCCTCAAGCTGGCTCTTAAGCACTGCCTTTAAGACACGTTTAAGAGTTTCATCAGGCAGGGGGTACCTGGCTGGCTCAGTGGGTAGAGCATGCAACTCTTGATCTCCGGGTCATGAGTTAAAGACCCACATTTACTGTAAAGTTTACTTAAAAAAAAAAAAAGTTTGATCAGGCAGTACTTATCGAGAATGAAGTATTATGACAGGACCCATGGATCCTATAGTCACAGGCCCATCATTGCCACTCTGCCATAAAATGAGTCCCTTGATGGCAGAACAATGTTATGCAAGATTCCACGATGGCAAATGAGACACTCTCTGAGCCTTCAGACTGTGGTACTGCCAAGACTCAGTGGGCAAGATTGGCACATCCATACCCAGATTTTGTATTAGCCCCAGTAAAGACAAATAACTGCCTTATGCACTGATAGGGAGAAAGTCCCGGGGTGGAGATTCATGGGGGCCATCAGCATACACTGAACATATGAATGATATGATATGTGCAGAGCACCAACAGCATCTGCTACAGGTGGGCAATCAATTGTCTGCCATTTATCCTTTTGTTAAAAAAAAAAATGTATTTCAAGGAATTTTTCAGTTACTGAATTTTAAGGAAATAATCATGAAAATTCTAAAAGGTCCTGTGTGTCCAAATCCTGTGGTCCTGTCTTTCTAGGAAGCACTTCTTTGCAACACAGACATCAGATGTGGGAGGAATGTGCATGGCAATCATGGGGTGAGGTATCACAGTGGAATATCCTCATACCTACTCTAGACTGTAAAGATCTCTAGCGATTGAGATTTTTAATGTCTGTGTCCTCAATGACACTGGACTGCATCAACACTACCAGTACATTCTTTCTTCAATGTAAGCTAATTTAATTTTATTTCACTTTAGTGATTGAGAACCTACTACTTTCCTTGTAATAACCCTTCATATTCATGAGATACTTTATTTTTTTTTAAGATTTTTATTTATTTTTTGAGAGAGAGAGAATGGTAGAGAGCATGAGAGGGAGGAAGGTCAGAGGGAGAAGCAGACTCCCCGCTGAGCAGGGAGCCCGATGTGGGACTCCAGGATCATGACCTGAGCCGAAGGCAGTCGCTTAACCAACTGAGCCACCCAGGCACCCTCATGAGATACTTTAAAGTCCTCTTTTACTTTTTCTTTTCCAGGCCAAACAATCTTTTTTTTTTTTTTTCAAATGCCCTATCTTCTATCCCTTTTACCATTTTTATTGTTCTTCTCCATTCTTCATCATTTGGGGGACAAAACATAATACCTAAACTTTAATGGGGGCCTGACAATTGTAAAATACACTGAAAGAATCTATTCCCAGCCCTTACTCACCAGAATTCCATTAAAATAGGCTAAAATTAATTAGCTTTTTAAAGTAACAACACACACTTTCTCATTCCTAGCTCATTTTGATTAATGGTAATTTCCGGTTAAGGCAGTGAACATTTATTAGCTACACATTTGTATATGTCTAAAAGTCTCTTCAAATACATTGTTGGGCTTGTTTGACTGCGCTCTATGTGGATGTCTCTGAATAGATAGTCTTCTATATTATCTTTATTAAACTTTTTCTGTAATTTGTCAATTCTCTTGAATCTCCTTTCCGTTTTATAGATGTAAAGAACTCTGAATTCAGGCAGTTATAGTAAACTTTCCAGAACAGTTGGTTTTCTATTATTTTTTAAAGATATTTTGGAATAGAGACTTGATGTATTCTATTAAAAAGAGATAACTGAGAAATAGCAGTTAGAATTAAGTTTG